TGAAATGAGAATATTACTTCTAAAAGAAAGCAATTAGTCACTGCTAAGAGAGATTGAAAGAATCACTTAATATCTGATGAAGAGTTCAAAGCTATTTGAAATGAATATTTTTCAGATATTAAAAAAGCCAAAACAGATTGCTGGAACAAATTTCTTAAAGAAGCATAAGAAAAAGAAGTTTTCAAAGCCTTCAACTATACTAAAACAAGAAGTGTAGCAAAGCTTTCAACCTTAGAATATGAATTTCAGAATGAATTATATACAGTAAATTCTTTTGAGAAAAAATATCAAGCTTTTATGAGAATTCTCTTTCAAAACTCATCATCACATTTAGAAGAGGAGAATATGTCATTTCATGAATATATTGATGAAAATAACTGGGAATGACCTGAGCTTACATATGATGAACTAGAGTCAGCAATATTCTCAAGTTCAATTAAAACTGCTGCAGGGCCTGATTCAATTAATCACTCAATTATTCAAAACACATATTCCTACTTAAAGAATGAATATTTTGAGCTCTTTTTCAATCTCTTAAAAAATGGTTATCATTCTGAATGCTGGAGAGAAGCTACTGAAGTAATCCTTGTAAAACCTAATAGAAAGACTTCAATTCCTAAGTTATATAGAGTAATATCTCTGTTGAACTGTTTAGAAAAAATTCTAGAAAAGATAATAGCTACTAGATTATCTTTTATAAGCTCTATTAGTGATTCTCTTCTATTTAATGAACAAATGAGAGATAGAAAACAATGTTCTGCAATTGATACTGTTCTCTCAGTTGTTCATGATGTTCAAGTAGCAAAGTATGAAGATCTGGTCTCAACTGCAGTTTTTATTGATATAAAAGATGCATTTGATCATGTATCAAAGTCTAAGATGATTCAAACTTTGAAGATGTTAAAACTGTCACTTTCTCTAATAAAATGAGTCAATTGTTTCATGTCTAAAAGAATTATACAACTATTCTTTGATGGAAGAAAACAAGATAAAACTGAGATAAAAATAGAAGTATCACAAGAATCTCCAATCTCACCTGTTTTATTTGCAATATACACTGCATATCTATTCAAGAATAGAGAGATGAAAATAGTGAGATCTTCAAGTTATGTAGATGATATTGATCTACTCTACAGTTCAAAGACAATCAAAGAGAACTTAGAAGTGATTGAGAAAGCAGTAAAGAAAATCTTTGTTAGAGCAGATATCAATCTAATTCAATTTGATATGAATAAAACTGAGTTAATTCACTTTTTTCCCAGGTTTAATGAGAAAGAACTAAGTCTAACTCTTTTGAATAAAGAGATTAAACCCGGTTTAAATGTCAAATGGCTAGGAGTATGGTTAAACTCCAAGCTGAATTTTAAATATCATATTCAACAAAGAATCATCAAGACAGAGAGACTACTGAATAGTATAATCAGACTATCAAATACTGAGAGAGGTCTATTCTTTCAGGCTATGAGACAGTTATACATAGCCTGTATTATCTCAGTAGCTGATTATGAAGTTCAAGTTTAATGAAACAATCAAGAAAACTTCACTGAACTCTTTCAAAGTCTACAAAACAGAGCTTTGAGAAGAATTCTGAATGCATTCAAGTCATCTTCTATTAAAGCAATGGAAATTGAAGCTTCAATTTCACCTCCTGCTATTTGATTTGAAAAGGCCTGTATGAACTATGCTCTGAGAGTCATGAAGATGAGCTTAAATCATATAATTAGAGAAAGAGTCTCTTCTTCATTTTCATCAGTTAACTCAGGAAATGAACTGGATTGAAATAGATTTCTTGATTGAAATGAGAATAATACTTTAAAGAAAATGCCCTCTCAACTGTATAGACTATGTTCACTTATTAAGAATCAATTTTCTTCATTAAATGTTGAGAAAATTGATTATGAGAAGATATCTCTCTGAAGAGAAAAGCTGGAATCTCTCATAGACTTACAAATAAGTGAACTATCTAAAGAGAGAGAATATGAACAGCATTTGAAGAAGATCTCTACAATTAATATAAAAGACTCTATTCTGATCTACTCAGATGGCTCAAAAAATGAGAATTTGAATAGATTAGGCGCAGGCATTGCTTATACTGAAGATAATATTAATTTTATCTCAGATTTCTGGAATTTAGACTGTGAATCTGAAGTCTTTGATACTGAACTATTTACAATAGTGAAAGCTTTCAAACTCATTGAAATAAAATCTTATAAAAGAGGAAATGATTTGAAAGAGACATGAATATTCTCTGATAGTCAAGCTGCTTTAAAAAGACTTAGAAATAGTCAGATTCATAATGATCAAATGAATCTTGAACTGATTTTAAACTCTGTTTTGAAAATTCAAAAGAGAAGAATATCAAAACTGATAATTCATCTACATTGAGTTCCTGCTTATATGAATATTCATAACAATGAATTGACTGATTCAGCTGCAAAAAAGGGTTCAGAATTAAGCAGATCTATTTAAAAAACAGTGTCCTGGTCTTTCATAAAGAGAAAGATAAAAGAATCTTGTTTAAACAAGTGAAATGAAAGCTGACAGAAACAAAAGAAGAGTATACATTATTCAAGATTTGAGACAAAACCAAAGTGGAAATCTTGTTCAATTAAATGTAAAAAGAAAATATTCTCATCTATAATTCAGCTGAAACTAGGACATGATTATTTCAAATCTTATATACAAAGATTTGATGATAGATTTGATTCAACAGAGTACTCATTCTGCAATGTGAATGAAAATCCTGAGCATATTGTAATGCATTGTGCATTATACAATAGTCTCAGAGTCAGATTAAAGAAGAAGTATGATTTAAATCAATTAAATATGAGGTTCTTATTCTCAACTGAGACAGGAACTAAATACTTAATAGACTTTCTATCAGAAACTAGAGCAGCTACAAGAAAATGGCTGAATTCAGAAGTATCTGAATATGAAGAGGTGGAAATTGACTAGATATAGTCTGTTAAAACAGCTATATATCATCTTTTAATAATTTTGTTTTGTTATAGTCTCTCTTTACTGTACTTGTTTCCTTCTGTTCTTTTCTCTACCTATTTAATGTGTCTATCTTTAAGACTATGTTCTCTTTTCTTTTGTCATAATATTTTCAAATGGTTTCAAACTATCAGAAGGTGTTGAAATACTGCAATTTGTAAACAGTTTTTGTATTCTGAGCTGGAATTTTCTGATTTTACATATTTGAAATTGATAAATGTATAATAGTTGACTCTATAGATATAGGAAAAACCCTGAGAACTAAAGATTCTCAGGTAAATGTCATAGTCTCTGACTGCATACATCTATAATTGAAGAATAATAATAATAATAATAATAATAATAATAATATCATAGTACTGTTTAGATTCTATTATTAATTACTTAGAAAAGATCTTATTAATCTTTTTCTCAGAGAATTAATTATTTAAATAGATCTAAGAAGTCAGATTAATAAGCTCAGTATAATTAATTAATAAACTCTGATATTATAATATTATTATTCATATCTTATAAGTCAGCTTTGTAAGATAAAGCTGTATTTTTAATTAATTTAAATTATTAGTTAATTTCTCTTAACATTCTTCAAATCTTATATTGAAATTAGAAGAATTCTTATTATCTTATTAATATAATAAGTTAAATCACTGTACTATTATAAAGCTGCAGTTATAGTAGTCTTTAATTTAATTCAGTAGAAAGTTCTTAAATTCTTCTTAAATTATAATAGTATTAATACACTCAAGCTCTCTCTTCTTAATAACTCAAGTAGTCACAGAGATGTCTTCAAGAAGATTGACAGCATATATTACTTATATCTTATAAGTATTATACTGACTCAGATTAAGGTGAAATTTCTGTTCAAGAATACAGATAAAGCTGTGAAATTCAGATAAGATATTTCTCTTATATCTTAGAAAATCTCTGATTTTAATCTCTCTATCTTTATAATAGATATAGATGTATAGAGGCTGCAGTAGTAACAGAGTAATTAAAAAGTCTATATTAAAATATACAGCAGATTTAGAAATCTCAGATTTCTATCAGAATAGAGATGTACATACTTTAAAGAATAATATAGTATTTTCTTCAGAGAGTGAGATCAGATCAGTTTTAATATAAATATATAAGATTATATCAGTCTGTTAAAACTTAACTGATTCAAACTTATAATCAGATTAAGTAATTCAAATTATAATATAATAGAGTCAAAGCAGTGACTAGTCAGTGATATTATATAGAGATAGTTATTTAAGAAGTTATATAAGTAAGCTTAACTATTTTATTTGAATAATAAGCTTATAGACTATAGAGTTATTGTAAGAATATCACAGATGTGATACTTAGTATACTAAGAAGATTATATGAGATATACAGTAACTCTTATATATATTTCAGTAGAAGAAAAACAAATCACTGACTTCTTTAATAAGAAGTCAGCATCTAGCTATTCTATATAGATAATGAGTGAATACTTTTCTCTTATTTCATAAGTAAGAATAGCTGAAGTAATACCTCAGCAGCATCTCATTATCAAGGAAGAGTAATCTGCTGACCTCATATAGAAGTGGGGTTCTCATATCCATCAATCGGATCTTCCTATGATATATCCAAATGATGTCATAGGGTGGTTGGAAACCAGTTCAGACGGGATGGAATCATCCGCATGGGATCGATGGGCCGTGTGGAACCGCAACGGGGCCTTGGCGCGGCCGGGAGCGTGACAGTTTATTAAATTGATTATGAATCAGCTATACATGCTTTGATTGATTGATGAGCTGAATGAATGAGTGAATTGAAAGATTGAAAGTCAATTATCAACTGATTATTACTGTATTGTGCGAGGTCAGGGTCATGATTATGTAACAAGGTCAAGTGGCGCACTTAGCGAGGTCAAGTTTTCTGTATACACCGGACTCCACGATTTGCATCCGGTTATCGCAAAGCCCATAAAACCCCGGTCATCACTCGATGGATGGGGAAGCATCCGGAAAACACGCATAATGTCGTTTACTCGAGGGAGTAAGCGACTTGCCTCGCAGCGCTTTTCGGCCCTGTCTAAAAGATCGCCTCTTTTTGCCCCACGATTACGCCCTTACTCTACCGCCGGGCCTCTGCAGTCCCAGAAAGAGCCTCGGGTGCCACCACGTATTCGTTCTTACATTGCCGTGGCAGGGTTGACGGCTGTTATATCCTTTGGATATTACTACATCAGGGATAGACCGGGAAGTCTTGGAGAAAAATCGCGGTATCTACAACCAGAAGTCATTGTGCAGGAGGCCAAGACCAGGCAGAATCTATCAGCGGAGGAAAACCGGGAGTCACTAAGCCCCCAGCATGTCCAGGTGAAGAGGAGTTGGGAGCGGCCAGGGCTGTATGCATGGGGTTCGAATACAGGGTTAGTCGCAAACCCGGACTCGAATGAATTCGTCGTGAAGACCCCAAGAAGAATACCATACTTCGATGGTATGGTTCTTCGTGATGTTAAGCTTGATCAGAATTTTGGTGCCGCCATCACGGAAAACGGAGATTTGATCCAATGGGGCAAAGGCTATTCGAAAACAGATTACAAACCAACGAAGACACTCAAGGGCAAAAATCTCGTGTCACTTTGTATTTCGTCAAACAGGATCATTGCGCTATCCTCCGGCGGAAACGTTTATTCACTGCCCGTATCAAAATCCGATCAAGAGAATGGGTTGAAACCTTCCGAAAACTCCTGGATTCCATTCTGGCGAACGCGCGCTGAATTGAGTTATCGCCCTCTGCAACCCCAGCTTGGGTTGGGCGAAAAGGTTACCGCGATCAGTGGCGGCCTCGAACATGTACTTTTATTAACGACTTCTGGACGTATATTTTCTGCTGCTATCGGCACGGAACATTTTCCTTCCCGCGGTCAACTCGGAATTCCTGGCCTGACGTGGAACAATCGGCCTAAGGGACCATATGACTTGTGTCATGAAGTTAGCGAGTTGCGCGGGGTCCGGATTACAAATATCGCAGCTGGAGATTACCATTCTCTGGCGCTTGATAAAGCTGGACAAGTCTTCGTGTTCGGCGACAATGCTTCGGGTCAGCTAGGGCTACAAACCAATGTCGCCTCTTCTTCCATTGATACCCCAACAATGCTTCCTCTCGGCAATCTCTACCCCGCCGATGGCTATGAAGTTAAAGCATCAAGTATTGCTGCCGGAGGCACAAACAGCTTTTTCACCGTCAGCGCCAAAAGGATACTTAGCCCGATGGAAGTTCCGACCACCGTTAGGGACCTTGGCCGAGTCACAACGGATGTCTGGAGCTGCGGGAAAGGGTTGTTTGGTGCCCTTGGGACTGGGAAGTGGACTCATGCCCAAGACAAACCTACAAAAATAAAGACTCTTAGTGGCTTGTTTGAGTACAGCGATACCGCGCAAAAGGTTGTCCCCATAGGGATAAGCCGTATTTCTGTCGGAGCAACCCATGCCGCTGCTGTACTGGGAAACTTAACCAATGTTTCTGCTTCGAAGGACGGCCCCCAAACAGACACCAATTGGGGCTCAGACGTTTTCTGGTGGGGTGGGAATGAATTCTATCAATTAGGCACGGGGAAGAGAAATAATATTGCGTCCCCCACGCACATCCGCCCTCCTGCCGATGTTGTTCCCCGCGAACATCAGCGAGAGGACAGTAGACTCCAAATTACGCCTCGCCGCACTGTTCAATTGGATGGGAGAACAGTGAGCCTGGAGCAGCGAGTCGAGTGCGGGAGATATGTCACTGCAGTGTATTCTGGTGTTTGATCAACTTTAATTGCTGTTGTGCTATGAAGCGAAATTTATCCTGTAATATATTGTCTGTACAGACCCCGATATGAGATATGAGAGGTAGGTTAGCTAATTTAACTCTATTCAATCACTATGTTTTTGCGATAGTACATGTATTTACTCCGAGTTGATATTCTGAAGCCCTTTCATCACATAGGTCTGATCTTTTGAGCTTACCCTTTTCCCGCTTGATTTGATCTCATGTTTGCATTGTTTGTTCCTATGATAACGTAAGCTACTCAGGGGCGCTTGGACGAACCACCACTAGGGAAAAAATTACTCGTGGGTGAAATCCTGGAAAGGTACGCGGGATTTTTTTCTGTTTATCCGCACAGTTACTCTTGTTCTTTTTGTTTTTATCTTTGTATTTGGTTAATTCGAATCCTACAAGAGCGTGGGCTTTACCATGCCTCGAGAAAGGCAAAAACGAGGCCGGAGAGCGGAGGCCAAACGAAAGCGCGATGATGAAGTAGGAGACCGCACAGCGCCAAAACGACAGAAAGCCTCGGAAGGCGACAATGACTTTAATCCTTTGCATAGCCAAGCAAAAATTGGAGATGACTATATTCCACTTGAGGAGGAGCCGGCGAGCTCCATGGACACGCCATTCTACGGCCTTCTCGACCCGGACGAACAGGAATACTTCTCCCACGCAAGTGGGCTCCTCGAACTTAACCAGTTTGAGACCGAGGAAGAAAAGAGCATTTTCATAGAAAGAGTTTATGAGGAGGCCGACGGGAAGGAATTAAAAATTGCCTGCAGCCAGTCATGTTCGAGGTTAATGGAAAAATTAATATCGGCCTCTACTGTTAGTCAGATAAAATCCTTGTTTAACAAATTTGTCGGCCAATTCCTCAATCTCGTCCAACATCGATTCGCGAGCCACTGTTGCGAGAGCTTGTTCCTTCGAGCTGCACCATATGTGACGCTGGAAATGAAGAAAAATTCTGCCGAGAAGAACGACAATGAGTGCGAAGATTCAAGCGCGAATTTACGACTCGAGGATTTATTCCTGGCTGTACTTTCTGAGCTGGAGGGAAACTGGGGCTATTTGTTAACCGAAAGGTTCGCATCGCATACAATAAGGGTACTTCTGTTGATACTAGCTGGCGAGCAACTAGACAACCCGTCTAAAGCAACCGTCATCGCGAGTCGCAAAAAGGAGAACTTGGATAAACCCAAAGTGACACAACGCGATAAGTCGGCGTCAGATAGGCGAGCTGTTCCGCCCTCATTCAACGCTGCCTTGGAGAAAATGATGAATGATTTGGTTACTGGACTTGATAATACCTATCTACGAGCACTGGCGACCCATCCTGTTGGAAATCCCGTTCTACAGGTCCTCCTCTCAGTCGAGCTCACCCATTTGGGGAAATCAAAAGCTAGGGATCCAGACTCGGTTTTTCGAAGACTTGTCCCGGATGAGAACCTGGAAGAGGGCAGTGAGAGTGCGGCATTCATAAAGGGCCTCTTTTATGACCCCGTTGGTTCGCGGTTATTGGAAACAATGGTACAATTAGCTCCGGGAAAGTTTTTCAAGACATTCTACAAGGCCCTTGTGCTGGAACGCATTGGATCGCTATCAAGGAACGAAATCGCAGGACATGTAGTAGCTCGGATTTTGGAAAGACTGAGCAAAGAAGATCTGAAGAGCTCCATGGACTTGATTTTGCCGGAAGTTCTGTCCTTGGTGAAACGCTCAAGGTTTACCGTTATTAAAACGTTGATTGAGCGAGGGGTCATCCGTGGTGTAGACCTAAGGCCGCTAGCAGATTCTCTTTTGTTGGCCTTTGGCACAGACCCTATCGCAAGGATTAATAACGTCCTAAAACTCCATCACCTCAACGAAGAAAACGACGATACAAAGCGGTCCTCTAAAAACTCGACTCCAGAACAGTTACATGGTTCTCTTCTTGCCCAGACCATGCTTAAGGCTCCCGGGCCCCTCAGCGAACTAATACAATCAAGTCTTCTCGCAGTTACGCTGGAGACTTTAATAGCAATTGCTAAGGACCCAGTTGCATCCCACGTCCTTCAGGACGCATTAACGCTCCCAACTTCTACTATTCAGTTCCGCCGTCAAATAACCTCGAGATTTTCAGGAAAGATGGCTGAACTCGCTCTGGATTCGAGCGGATCGCATGTTGTCGATGCTGTCTGGTCGGCGACGGAGAATTTAATTTTTATCAAACAGCGATTCGCCGAAGAGCTCTTGGCAAACGAACGACCCCTTCGTGACTCATTTGTCGGACGAGCTGTATGGAAGAATTGGTCAATGGATTTATACAAAAGGAGGAGAGGCCACTGGATTGCAGTAGCTAAAGGCCTAGAGAGCGTAAATCCGAGTAACTCCGAGAACCGACAGCCTCCGAAATCAAACCTTGATTTAGCGAGAGCTCGATTTGCTGAAAAGTCAAACACCAGCACACCGAAAAAGATATCTGCAACGTTCTAAAAAACCCGAGAAAAATGTTGCTCCGGACTGCAGTCACGTGTCCCATATTCTATTAGGTAGAGAACCTCGCTATCTTTGGTGGTGAGCGGCCTGGGAGTCGGGAGGGATAAGTATGACATCACTTTGAGCCAATGGGTTCAACTTGAGTTCTGCCTAGAAGATATAGAAAATGAAAATCTCATTCGCTAACCATGGTAACCAGTTACAAATCATCTACGCAGTAGTTGCCCGGTTATACGCAGAAGGGCCTGTTCTGGTGCATTGCATGGTGCAGTACATGTATGTACAGTACAGAGTACATGTAGGGAGGATTAAAGTTTTGATTAGTGCTAAGAATTTAAGCTATAATACTATTGTTACCATTTCATTCTCAAGCCCCTGGAATTTTACACTAGCTTTAGTTAAGCTGTAGCTGGTTATTCAGGTGCCAGAGACATTAATCTCTCTTAAAACTCTGATTAAAAGAGGGGATGAAAATACTTTATAGTAACAAAGTTACATCTTAAATTCTCTGTACACAGTCAGTGACAGTCACATATTTCAGTCAAAAATACACTTATTCAGTAAAATATACATTAATTCAATAATTGTAAATAAAAATACAGATAATATAAAAATAATTAAATAATTAAAATTTGATTTTTCTAGTATTTTTAATATTAATTAAAGTGAAAAGTGAAACTTTTTAATTAAGTAAAATAAAAAATAGCTTTATATAAAACTTTATTAATAAGAATAAACTATTTAAAGTTTATTTAATATACAGTGTAATATTTCTTTTATATACAGTTAATTTAATTTATAATATACTTATTCAGAAAATATATTTATTTTAATTAATTAATAAATAAATTAATTAATATTTTTTATTTAATTTATTTTTTATAAGTACTGACTGTAACTACTGTTAAAACTTCATTTAAAGAAAAAATTATTATTATTAAAATTTAATTAAAATAGTAATATTTACTTATTTTATAAAATATATTAAATAGATTTAATAGTTAGTTTATTCTTTTTTAAATGAAGTTTTTAACTATTTAAAAAGAATAAATAAAATAGAGCTACTTTTTATTTTATTTAATTTAAAGAGTGTTACTTTTCACTCTTAATTAATACTAAAAAAAATATGAGAAAAATCAAATCTTGATTATTCATTTATTTATATTTTTGTTTGTAATCAGAGTATTTTTTGCTGAATAAATCTGGGATCATAAAAATAATAAGTATCACAAGGTACGCTGCGTAAGTGTCAGCTATCTATTAAGCGCAATCTTTTTGAAGAATGTGTTCAGTATCTAAGTTCATGAATGTAGTGATAGCTTATTTCTAATTGCAAATTTGAACATGCTTACAAGACAGGTTCGGAAAAACTTACACAAGAGGATATGAATCAACTCATGGCATGATTGAATAAATGATTTTTTTCTAACCATGTTCAACTCCCCGGTTCAACTTTAGTGCGGCAAAATTATCATGCCGGACTCGTGTCCATCGATTTTTCATAGTCAAACCTTGTTATTTTTTTGCCGGCTATTTATTGTCCCAACTACCCCACAAGATGGAGGCTAGAATTGATAGATACGCCGTTTTGCAAAACTCACCTACAATATGTCTTCGAATAACCCTCCAGCGACTCCAGGGAATCAATGCCTAGAGCAAAGTGAGGAAGTACGAAATGTAAGTGAAGCAAGCCGCCTTATCATCAATAATAGACAAACCCGATCCTCCTCTCTGAGCCGAATCATATTCGGCGTTAAGTCATATTGTAAAGCAGTTAACTGATCGCTGTTAAATGCTTCTAATGTAGTTACTAAGTGCTGTCCAAGAGCGCCTCATAGCCTTTATCCGATCTGCAGATCAAGATGACTTTAGCTCTGCAAAAGTTGAGGACGCCCCAACACACAGGTCGGCATTGGTTCAGCCCATGAAACCAGACGAGCTGCAAGCCGCTCTGAATCTCGAAATTCCTTCTTCCGGCCAAGGTCAGGACGGCCTCCTTCGAATACTCGACCAGCTGCTACAGTACTCGGTAAACACATGGCACCAAGGGTTTATGGACAAACTGTATGCATCCACCAATGCTCCGGGTCTCGCAGCCGAATTGATTATCGCTTCGCTGAATACAAATGTTCATGTATATCCAGTGTCCCCTGCACTTACAGTTATTGAAAAGTATACTGCAAAGCAACTGGCAGCACTTTTTGATTTGAATGGGCCTCGGGCCGGAGGCATATCGGCTCAGGGAGGCTCAGCTTCCAATACCACCTCCATAGTCATCGCTCGAAATGTCCTTTTCCCAGAGACCAAGAAGACGGCAATTACGGATACAGATTTGTTTTATTTTCTAGTGCACACGGGCATTATTCTGTAGAAAAGGCAGCGCAGATGCTCGGGTTTGGAAGTAATGCTGTTTGGAACGTGCCAGTCGACCGAAAAGGCCAAATGATCCCCAAATCTCTAGAGGATCTGATTGTCAAAGCAAAGAGCGAGGGCATGACACCGTTCTACGTTAATGCCACTGCTGGGACGACAGTTCTCGGATCATTTGATCCCTTGGAGCAAATTGCGACCATTTGTCGGAACCACAACCTTTGGTTTCATGTTGACGCTTCCTGGGGAGGTTCATTTGCATTCTCTAGAAAGCAAAGAGCAAAACTTGCCGGCGCACATCTGGCAGACAGCATCACGGTTAACCCGCACAAAATGCTAGGTGTACCAGTGACTTGCTCATTCCTACTGGGTGCAGATATGACCAAATTCCACCGTGCAAATACTCTACCAGCGGGTTATCTGTTCCATAACGATTATTCAGCCGCCGACGTGAATGGCAATGCAACTATACCCAAACTGGAGTGCGAGCCTCCCGAAGTCTGGGATCTGGCTGATTTGACATTGCAGTGTGGCCGCCGAGCCGACTCACTAAAGCTCTTTTTGAGTTGGACTTACTATGGCTCGGAGGGGTATGAACGTCAAATTGATTCCGCCTGTAATCTGGCCGCTTACCTTGCAGCTGCCGTGTCTGATTGCCCAAACTTGCTCCTCATCAGCGAGAACCCACCCCCCTGTCTCCAGGTTTGTTTCTACTATGCTCCTAACAAACAACCCGTCTTCCGCCGTGGCCAGGAAATTGAGGGTAAACAAATTGACGAGGAAGAACGAAGCAAGCGAAACAGCAAAATAACCGAAGAAGTAGTGCAAAAGCTAGTCCGTCGCGGGTTTATGGTTGACTTCGCGCCACCAGCTGGAGACCATCCGCTAGCTGGCGATGGGAAATTCCTCAGGTGTGTGCTAAATTTACAGACAAAGAAAGAAACAGTTCATGCCTTGTTGGATGCTGTTTTGGCCGTTGGGTCAGAGGTTGTTGGACAATGTGAGCGTGAGAATGCAATCAATGTCCCGGAAACCTTTGCAGGAGCGAAGCCATTCCGTATGGGAAATCAAGGAGAGCGTGGACATGGGCCGGTCGTTCATCATTGAAACCCCATTCACGCGGATATTTCCCCCCTATTCTACTCTGACATGGAAAATTGTGTGTTATGGATGGTGGATACAGAATAGACGTTTGTTTATTGGATGAAGGAGGCGCCGTCATGACTCGACTATCCTTTCATCTTGGAATTACACCTGGATTATGATGTACATAAATGTACCATACATACCTATAGAGAAAAAAAAAGATAAAATCTATCTTATTTTATTGATATGATATCTGCCTCTGTGGGCTGAGCATGGAGCCTTGAGCTATTACAAGTCCTTTATATCAACATTGAATGACATCTCGTGCTAGGATGCTGCTATCAAATTCAATTTCGGGTATCGAGTACAGAAGTGTGAGCTAATACATTGGGTAGGAATTAATGTTTAGATCAAAGGAGCGAAGTAAATTTAGAGATGCACGAAAGCCGCTCATGAGATATGTTTCCCTTAAACAGGATATGGAGGCAACTTCAGGGGTGATCATCTCAACATCGTACTTCTACTCTCCGCTCCAACACTGCCCTCGCCTCCGCCTCCGTCAAAGTTTCAATGTTCAATTCGGCCAACAATGATCTCGCACTTTCGTTACTCGCAAAAATTCTCTTTTCAGCCTCCCACAGTGATAGATTAGGTGTTTTATCCCCAGCGCCAGTAGAGGCACCGTGATCTTTCTGTGTAGGCTTAATTTTTAAATTGAGAAGTAGCAAACCGTCTTCGAGTTTCCGCATCACGTTTCTGGACCCCATTCCGTCCTCTGTCGCAACATCAACGACTTTGCAGATATTATCGACATCAGCAGCAAATTGGGATGCACCAGTTGTCGAAAAGGTATTTCTCATTAATACGTTGTCCCATATATATGACTGTATGGAGAGAAGGAGTTGGCGAGTGATTCGCTGTAGTGGAGCCATCGCTAGTAGCCGATGGAGGAACGAGATCTCGGTAGGGAGCTCTCTAAGTATTGTGGCCAATTCGATAGATGGATGTGAGAACTGGCCGCTGGGATTCGTTGGAGGTGAAAGTGAAGACCAAGTCGATATCCGAGTGTATCCTCGAAGCGCTGACTGGGCACTTGATATCAAAACCGAGATTATGATTGACTCTGATCTCGTTTTTAGCCCGCGATAAGCGGATGCCGTTTCGTCAAAAAGAGCCCCTTCAGTTGGGTTTCCCCCGTCTTCATTGTGGTTCGCCACAGCGGACGAAGTCCGGGCAGCAACATCAGAAACACTCATTGGTCCTGCCACGGGTCTTCCTGTACGACTGTTTTGCTTGATGCGCTCTTGAAGTTCGGACCAGAGTTCCAAGAAAAATACATCGTCGCTCCAATCCTGCATTTTCCGTTCCAGATATTCTGCGCTCCCATACACTCTACAAAGCCGCTCCAGACCAGCCACGCCTTCAAGGTTAGCATCCGCACCCGTGGAGCCTTGGACCGTGCGGCCAATTGTAGATGTCATCGCAAGATATGCCTCTAGTCCTGATCGTAGCCTCTCATGAAACTGATCAAAAATAGTGATTTGAATGTCAATGAGAAAGCGCAGCTTCTGGCTGAAAGACGATAAAGGACGGTACCGCTCCGTTATTGTTTCAAGAAGATCATTGACCCGAATCGCAGCTTTGGTCGGCTTTGTGGCCGATGGCTCAACGCAGTAATAATCTATTTCTCCGCTGTCTGCACTTTCGATGATATCCTGATAGCGTGACAATGCAAAATCTTTCTCCACTTTCAGCCAGTGGTTGAACCAGCCTTGTTTAACAAGAGCCTCCCAAGTTAATCCTTTCCAGGTCTCTGACGAATATCTGTCCTGGGAATAATCCCACACGTCTCGGATTTCGGTATCAAAACTCATTAATTCATGAATAAAATGGCTTAGAAGCTGGGGATGATCAGCAATTCTGGGAAGAATAGAGCTCATCTTTTGGCGTAACATCGGGAAAAGAGAGGTAATGAAGGATGACACTGCATCAGAATATGACCAACGGAGATTGTAGTCAACAAGTTCAGCTCGTCTGTCGAGTATCGGCTGTAGATATATTGCAAAAAAGTCGCTATGTGTGTTGATGAGGTCGATAACGTGGGACAAAAAGTATTCAGGCTGCCAAAGTTAGAGGATTCCCCACATAGGATAAATATTGCGTAATGAAGGGCAGATACCTTGTCTAATCTATTTGTCGACCTATCACCACTGAAGTGGTATTTAAACCGGAGCTCAAGCGGACGGGCCATCACCACGAGAGGGAGAAGAACAGGAGGTTCCCATCGACGGGCAGACTCAGGGCTAGTAACTAATGCGCTATTCTCTAGTTCCCTAAATCAAAGGTTAGAGTAAATATGTTCCATAGCGCAATAATGGGATTCCTTACGGCGCTTGTAGCTCCAGTAATAATTCAACCGCATCCGACCACTCATTGATCAGGTCATCCGAAGTATTGAGCTCGTTACCCGGCCATTTCATTTTCGTGAGGACAGTTTCCAGGTTGTCATCTAGTACTTTGGTCATTTGATCTCGTAGGTTTTTCGCTATTTGCGAAGTGTAGGAGACTATGTGAGGCGCTGCTCCTTCCGCTGCAGGCTGGGCCAACTTGAGGCCAGACGAGATGTTTCGTAATCGTGTATAAGGTCGCAGTGCTAGGCGAGGCGATGTTGCAAGTAAATTAAGAGTTTCCTTGCTGCGCTGCCTAAGTAAAAATGGCCAATAAAGATCGCAAAGATCCCGTTCACTAACCTGAGCCCGTCTACTTCACACAATGTGCCCATATACCCCTTCGCAATTTCTAACCTGCGAAGACGTTCCATACTCATTTCGAATGATTTAGCCGCTTGCTCACTGGTATCTGACTTGGTTACCATCATGAGTCGTTTATCCAAATTCTGCTGTTGCTGCTTGAAGGCAGTCGCCTGTTTGCGCACACTTTCGCTATGCTCCTTTGACGCTGCGGTGGCATGGGCAAGGATATTTTTCGCTTCACGAAGCTGCGACGTGTTAATACTTGTTGAATGAAAAAGCCATAAGGTTAAGAGGTCTATACTTGTTTTCTTTGAAGTTCCTGCTGGGTCTGTAAATTCTGAAGGATGGTATCTAAGTTGCGTAAGTCCTGTCCGGTTTGGATCATATCATTCAAATAATCCTCAACCCGGACTGACTCCAGAAAATTATGCCGTATCAGTTCTTCCGCCATGGCTGCAATCCGAATTATAGCGAGATGTTAGGTAAATTGAAGTTGAACGGTTGTATCTGGAGAGCCAAAACAACCAAGCTCCAAGTGGCCGCAAGCAAGTTAAGACGCTCGGACCAAGCGAAGAATCCCACGTGCTTTCCCGTAGGTCCCCTGAACCTACAACATCCCCGATTCAAATATATCTCACTCTCAGCCTATGGAGACCAGTCATGCCTAGTCCCGCTAAGAAGCGCAAGACAAATGATGCTGGACCTGTGCCTCAACGAGTTCGGGGAATCAAATCATTCTTTCGACCTCAAAATTCCCCACCCACGACAGCGACCAATGCCGAAGCGCCCTCGTTGACTGACGAAGAACTCGCGCGTAAATTGCAAGCAGAATGGAATGAAGAAGCTAGTTCAGGCCTCCAGAACCCTAGTGTAGCTAGAGATTCTCTGGGTTCAGTTTCAAAGGAGGCCAAACTTGAAGATCGAGATCCTAAATTTGGCCTAGAACCACAACCGCAACCTCTGTCGCCCACCGATTTTACTATAGATAAGGCGAAAAGTGTACTGTCGCTACAAACCTCGTCTAATGATGAGGATATTATTTCCCAATCTATACCCTTTGACCAAAGCCCACTTACCTTTGATCCATCTGACTACCTTGATCAATTACGGACACACTGGGAGGTTGACGGGGGACAAGCGCCATATGCCATTCTGACCAGAACATTCGTCCTTGTCAATAACACCCAAAGCCGGAATCAGATCATTGACAGCTTGGTCAACTTCTTGAGAGTGATCATAGAAGCCGACCCTGACAGCCTTGCTCCCGCCGTATGGCTTGCAACAAATGCGATTGCGCCTCCCTACGTTCCTTTGGAGTTGGGGTTAGGCGGGTCTGCTATATCCAAGGCGCTTAAAAACGCATATGGATTAAACAACCAAGGATTGAAAATTCTATATGACAAGCATGGCGATGCTGGGGATGTCGCCTTCGAGGCTAAGAAGAGGCAAAAATTTACTTTGAGGAAGCCAAAACCATTATCGATAAGAGGGGTCTACGAATCGCTCTTGAAAATCTCCAAAAGCAAGGGCCCAGGAAGCCAGGAGACCAAGCAACGAATAATTGAGAAACTTCTCCAGGATACAAGAGGCGCAGAGGAAAGCAGATTTCTCGTGCGAACGCTTGTGCAACATCTTCGCATTGGAGCAGTAAGAACAACAATGCTTATTGCTCTTGCCAGAGCATTCCTGTACTCGAGACCTGCCACGAGCAGTTTCACTGTTCATCACCGAAGGGATCTCGCAAAACTCAAAAAGGAGGAACTCACAGGTATCTACAGTAGGGCAGAGGAAACTGTGAAAGCTTGTTTTGCTCGACACCCAAACTACGACGATTTAGTACCATGCCTTCTGGAGATTGGAATATCAGATGAACTTATTGTAAGATGTGGGCTCACTCTCCATATTCCACTATGCCCAATGTTGGGAAGCATAACGAGGGATCTTACCCAAATGCTCACCAAGCTCCAAGGGAGAGCATTCACTTGTGAGTACAAGTATGACGGCCAGCGGGCTCAGGTCCACTGCGATTCCTCAGGCACGGTGTCTATCTTTTCCCGCCATCTCGAGCTAATGACGGACAAATATCCTGACTTGGTTGCTCTAATCCCCAAAATCCGGGGTGAAGGTGTGTCGAGTTTTATTTTGGAAGGAGAAATCGTCGCGGTAAACCAGGAAACTGGAGAAATATTGGCGTTTCAAACTCTTACCAACCGTGCTAAAAAGAATGTGGGCATCGATAGTATTAAAATCAGCGTATGCTTGTTTGCGTTTGATCTCATGTTTTTGAATGGTGAACCGTTGCTGGAGAGACCACTTCGGGAGAGGCGAGAGCTACTACGAGGGCTATTCATCGAGGTTCCACATCATTTTACATGGGTGAAAAATATCGACGTGACTTCGTCTGATTCGGAAGCTGTGCTGAGCTTTTTCAAGGATGCCACTGATGCCAAATGCGAAGGTCTCATGGTTAAGCTGCTTGATGACGATGTTGTTAAACCCGACTTGTCCAAAGAAGAGTCAACTGCGGCACCGGCTTCCACTAGCAAGCTACCACCAACTCTTACCACTGTTGAGCCGAGTGGGAACGCCAAAAGCAGGGGTCGACGCTCACTTCTCTCTACTTATGAACCTGATAAACGACTTGAGTCGTGGCTCAAAGTGAAAAAAGACTACAGTGCAGCATCTGATACTCTGGACTTAATTCCCATAGCTGCTTGGCATGGGCAAGGTCGGAAAGCCAAATGGTGGTCTCCGATCCTTCTTGCAGTTCGAAACCCAGAAACTGGCTTGCTGGAGGCTGTTACAAAGTGCATATCTGGATTTACAGATAAGTTCTATCAAGCTAACAAGGAGAAATATGCCGAGGGGAGCGATAATATAATTACGAGACCAGCCTACGTGGAATATAGGAATGAGCCGGAAGTATGGTTTGAACCACAAGAGGTCTGGGAGGTGGCATTCGCTGATGTTACTCTCAGCCCTACCTACACAGCCGCGATTGGCTTGGTTAGTGAAGAGCGCGGACTGAGCCTTCGCTTTCCGAGATTTATTAGGGTCCGCGAGGATAAGGGAATCGAAGAAGCAAGTAGCTCCGAGTATCTTGCGAGTTTATGGAGGAAACAAACGAAACGACTTCAGGAAGAAGGAGCACTAACCAATCCAGAAGCAGAAAATGACGACTTCGGCTCGGAGGACGCGGAGGATGAAAGAACCAACATTTTGCAAGGTTTGGATTTTAGGGGTTGAATCTAGAATTGTATGTAGCCTCCCCCCAGAGATTTACGGGGGAAAATGTCAATATTTAATTGAGATAACTGGCTCACGCGACTTAAGTACCTAGGCATATATATATAATATGCCTCTCCTATGTCCCAAGTTGTCGTCATTGAGACGACCAACATCCCTGCCATTTAGAGTTGCATTTACAATTCTCGTGAGCTTGAGTCGCAAAGCACGACTAAATGCGTCATCCAAAATGAATATGCACCAATCCAATTCTCGCCTGCCTCATTTATCTCTAAGTAATGATATTGGACGACGAAGGATTGAGTTTGACCCCATCATCCGAAACAGGAAAAACAAACGTTTTTGTATTAAGTTCCTCTTTGGCCAAAAGCTTCTACCTGTGACGACACGCCGAGCTTCTATTTGCCTCACCCCCCAAATATTGCTGATAAGAAGGCTGAGGCTCCCGTGCTCTCCCCACCCAGCTCCTGTTGATTGGCGTCGTCCACTTTGATCGATACATTTTGATTTATACAAGTGTCATTAACATCCCTGTTAAACAAGATGCATGATCTCCCACGAAAGGCTTTGATTGCTGTCAGCAGCGCCCATCCTCCATTCTACCTGGATGGGAAAAAAACTGGACTCTCATTCCCCGAGGCTTTGCACGCGTTCAACGAACTAGTGGAAGCGGGCTTCGATATCGATATTGCGTCAGAGACAGGCACGTTTGCCTACGATGACCATTCACTAAATTCGCACAATTTATCCCATGAAGATCAGCGGATCCTTCAAAGTTTCGATTACCCCTTTCATCACAAGATGAAAAACCAGGTATTCAGAGCTGGTGATTTATCCGCACACGAATATGGACTTTTCTTCGCAGCTGGGGGTCACGGCGTAATGTATGACTTCCCGCATGCTCGCCATTTGCAGGCCATCGCGGAAGATATTTACGATCGCGGCGGCGTGCTTGGTGCGGTAGACCAAGCGCCGGTTATTCTCGCAGGCATAAGCACTCGGGATGGCGAACCGATCCTTAAGGGTAAGGAGATTACGGGCTTTCCAACGAAGGGCGAGGTTGAGTTGAAAGTCATAGACAAAATCAGAGACGACAATCTCAAAACCGTAGAGGAGATGGCTCAAGCTGTCAATGCTCATTACTTACCGCCGGCGCACAACTTCGATGACTTTAGCCATATTGATTCGAGGATTGTTACTGGAGCGAATGCCACGAGCGCCACAAGCGCTGTGAGGAATGCTATTAAAGTGTTTGAGGGGGCTGTGGGCGAGTTTTAATATATATTTCATGGAATCTCTACCAAACAAAAATGTCAAAAAACTCGATTGCTACGTCGATTAATGGTATGGGGCTATCTTCACATAATTTGTACTGTACGTAATTCATTGGAAGCCATTCGCTTTGACTGGAAAAGTAGCTTCACCTGCTCCTTGACAATGGCGTTTCCCGTTGTCTTCCCTCTGGCATATCCGGTGGCAAAATTCTTTTATCCTACCATTTCACAATACCGCGATTTGAGAGGATGGGTATGTAGTTCCATTATACTAGTGCACTGATCAATCAATCGTTTCGAAAATAATCACACGATAGTTAAAGAGCCGTCTGCTTCGTGCTTTCCTGAAGGGTCACAGTCGAGCGCTTGCCGTATTCCAAGTCACCTGGAGTTTCAACTTCACTGCATTCACTTTTTCCCTGACAGTTTTCTCCGGCTACCGTACTGCCGTTTGAAATCGTAAAGGTATCGCCACCTTTCCCGGCTTCGAAACTACTACTGCTTCCATTGCCCATTCGTTTTGCCCAAAGCTCCAACTTCTCCACTACCAGCTCCCACCCGATAAACCTGGGCATGGTAAGGCTATAAAAGGGCACTTTCACTACTGGCGCTTGACTACGATGTACAAATGCGCCGAGATACGAATCGTCCTTCGATTCCCGACCGCCTCTAGCGCTATAGAAGGAGTCGAAAGCCCGAGGAAAGATTTTGGAAATAGGCGCTTTGAATGTCGGCATACAGGCGCATATGATTGCAATGTTCGTTTCGAAGATAGTCCACATTGAAGAGTCGATCGAGGACCCTACAATTCACGGAAAGCATTGCTCGGTCTGTGCATAAGTCTCCGTGCAGCAAACGGGTGGGGATAGGAGAGAAAATGAGCAGCTTTGCACGCACATGTTACGTCGAAATTTTTAGTTGCAACATCTAATTTCATGGATCTGAGCACGCTCGTGATACAAACGCTGAACGAATCAAACAGCGTTAGCCATTGCCTACACTTCCTAAATGCAGCAGGGAAAGGGGTTGGGTACCATACAAAATACCAACCGCAAATATTGACATCAACCCAATCTTTTCCTTTTTGGGTAATAGGAGAGATTTTATAACTGGCATGGGCAATATCAATATAGCCAGATCACTTAATATGCTGAAGGCCGCGTTTGAATACCAGCTGATTGTGAGATTGATGCAGGTTCCGGGGACTTGTCTTTGCCAGGCACGGTGAATCGGAGTACACTGAAAGACAGTGGCTGTTGACGACCCAATCGTATAACAGATAACAATCCAGATAAGAGACCAACACGTTCGACGGAAGATTTTACCAACGAATATACGTAGATACAGAAAAATGATCGATATTTTGGATAGAGCAATTGTCACCTTATATACGACTTGGGCTCCTACATAAAGCTATGTTTATGTTAATAGAGCGTTTTATCAGCATAAATTTGTTGACACGCACAACACTTCGAGGGTATGATGTCTAGAAAATGTGAAACGCACCTTCAATGACTTCTGAACAAGAAGAAGATCTTGCTGTTTCATATGTTTCCCAAATGCCCATTTGCAAACTGAAGTGGAGTTAACACAACTGGACAGCTGAAAAGATTCTTAGGCTCAAAGGAGCGTACCAATAATCATGGTTATCGAGAGTATCACCGAGAACAACTGTATGAATTGATATCCCATTTTTCAGCAATAACTCGGACCGGAAAAGCGAAACAGAGCGCATATCGCATTCTTCACATTGAGACAACTTACGCAGGAGATGAGAATGGTCCAGTCATCCCTTCCCAGTCGCTTTGTAAAATGCAGCCTGCTGGCTACTCTCAGCCCCACGAACAAGGGAGTTACAAAGCAGAACACAATCGAAGGGTTCATCAATCGACTAGATATGTCTGGTATCGGTTCTCCTGAAGGCGAAGACATATTGGAGGCGCCTGCCACTTACACGCAAACTTGTTATTGCAAAAATCAAAGAGTGACGGAGTGGTGTCTGCGGGCAGGAAACGCAGTAGACATATACACAAGAAGCATTCACGATGGGACTTGAGAGAACTTGATATACACCGAAGCGAAGAATCTTCTGGTTTGAATTGAGTAATATATCTGCAGCATGAACCAAACCAGATCGTATTTGAAAATGAGTCGCTTTTGCAAGGGGCGCGCTGTCAGCATGAGTACAGCAACCAACCATGGCAAAGCTTTTAACATGAGAACTTAAAAAATAAAGGCATTGGTTTTGTGAAGGCGTAGTCTGGGAATATGTGCATTCCTTTCATATGCATTGGTAAGCTTTATCTTGTGGTTCAGGGCGCCAAATTGCGCTGCGCGTTGCTGGGAATAGCGAGGCCTTTAGCGGAACAGCAAAGAGATCTTCTCCAGAGAGAATTGCAGACCCCAAAACGAGCAATTTGCAAATCATGGTATGCAAAGCAAGTTAAATAGCAGAGGCAGGCTGAGAGCATTGACTTGCTTCATCACCCTGCCTCTTGCAAGGGTCTGGTTCAGGAAGCAAACATCGAAACAAAGAATTTGGAAAATGGACATGTCCGGGAAGATGTTGATCCCAAGGACCCAAATCGTTGGAAGATGAGCCCAGCAACCAATCCCACGATATTATTCCAAATTCTAAGGCATTGCTGTCTGGACAAGCACATGCTAGAGTGTCCTGTTAGCGGGAGTCCACTGGCAACAAACGGTCTCCAATGACACAAGCGTATATGAGATCTAACATGACGTTAATCAAGTTTCGGTAGACAACAAAAAGTTTTGAATTTGGGCATGACACAACATAGATAATCACTGTTCGATCGACGATGGTTCGTTGAATTCGACAATCCTCCCATCGGATAATGGGCTACCCCATAAACTCAGTGACGGATATCGCAAAGATTGACCGACACTCCGTTGGAAACATACAGTTGATGCTTCTGAGGCTGCATATTTATCTGGCAGCTGGTTCTTGGCACTCCATTGTGAGAACTTTGCTTGGGCGGAGAAAGCCCATTGATCTGATACCACGGCTGCAATACCAGAGACTTCGTTATTTTGGATGTTAATCTGATGAGTGAAGGAGAAGTCGGGGGATTTTCTCTCTTGATCAGTCAAAGAATCAATCAATTGATATGGAGGTCTATGCTGCCAGAATATCAGGGTTGAATTGACAGCACATTAATTTTCTCGTTGGCTGGTTCGTGGCGCTACAAAATGATAAGGAAAATTGGATAAAGATTATCAGGCTCATCATGTCCATGGAGATGACCGACCGACAAATCAATAACAAAGAATGATGACAGACGCCCATACACGCAATCCAACATAATTTATGCACGCGGACGTAATCATTATTTTAATGGGAGACGAATGCTCCGTAGTTAGTGACCCATTCATTCATTTTGTGTACCGAAAATCTGGGTGGTCATCCCCGAGGTTCTCCAACTCGTCTCGACATATTTAAATTGAACCGATAATCTCGGCATCCAGAGTCCCGCTTCTTATTTTCTCGCTCCAGTCCAAGCATAAATACCGTAGACAAGAGAGCACACACAAATATCAAAGCCAGAGCGCTCCCATATCCTGCTTTGAAGAGAGGCGCAGCATTCGGGGCGAACATATTACTGGCCACGAGACCACCAATATTACCAACAGAAATTTGGAAAGCGATCCCGAATGCACGTTTGTAGTGACCGGCTAAGTTGTTAGAGACCCATACGACGACAACAGGTTGAGCGACGTATACACCAATATTGACGATGAAGAGTGCCATGTGTTTGACTCTTATGGATACGTCTTGTTGGCAGAGCAGCAGTATATATCCAATGCTAGCGAACAGACAGCCAAACAAAATGAAACCACAGCGATGGCGCATTCTGTCGCTGAGGTAGCCTACAAGAATGGTCGCGGCCCGCGGATGCCACCCAAATAGGTATACTATGGACTTGTGATTGTGAGGCGTCATACCCAAACGGATTTAAAATAGTAGGGTTGAAGAGAGCTGTCGAATACCTAGAGGTATTGATGGTGAAGTATATGAACGCCCTAACCGGAGAATTCGTCAAGGATTTATATATGGACGATTTGCGTTGAAAGAACGGGTTCCATACCCCATATATATTTTCCAGTCCTTGACAATGATTTGCAAAGATTCTCGGTTAAGCTTGTCCATTTTTGCGGAACCCATATCCTCCTTTAAGCGTGCTGCAACCATGACTCGCTCCTCTTCCGAGAGAAACGATGCTTTAGAAGGCCAATCCACGATGAGGAACTTCGTAAGAAAGCTCAGTGAAATCGTCATAAGGCCTTCAACAATGAATATGCTACCATGGTATTAATATTTTCCATCTCCCTGTTTGGGCCACGCGCAGAGAATCTTACCATCGCCATCCTGAGTATCCTCCCACACCATCGAGTTTGGCGAATGAAAACGCTAGAAGCTGAAGAATAAGATAGTGTCAGACTTTGGCAAAGAAATAGACGTTGCTGGACAAAGGAAATCAAAATCATACTCCCCCGACAGCACCTGCAACCATTCCAGACGTAAAAAGAACAGCGAATCTTTTCTGGAATTCGTGCCCCTTGTAGTACGTACTCATAAGATAGCTGAATCCTAAACCATCCTCCCCAACGTCAGATGGAGCCGGATTAACATCCATGCGGTGGTATTTGTTACCTGGGAGAAGGCCAGCTTCAAAAACACCCAGGAGAAATCGGCAAACGGTGAGCCCCTTCGGGCATTTCACGAATCCTTGACACACAGTCACAAGACCTTCGCATCGCGTTAACATGGCAAGGGATATGAATTTCAAAGCTTAGGGCCAGCTTACCGAAGAAAAAAGTGAGAATAGTAATCCAAGTCGAGGGAGCAACTCGCTTAAGAAGAATGTTGCTAGGAACTTCCAAAATGATATATGGAACGAAGAAGATCAGCAGGGCAAGGCGAATATCACTAGTGCTATTCATATTCAATTCCTCTATGAGGCCTTCGATCAAGGCTTTGCCGACATTGATTCTGTCCATGAAGGCACAGAAATACACAATAAATAGGATAGGGACAATGTGGAGGTCAAATTTCCATAGCAATCGCTGCTCAGCTTTAGGATCAAGCTGTTCACTAGCATTCGTATGTTTTTCAGCCGATTCTATGGAAGTAGCGGTTGAGTTTGGTGTTTTCTCCCCTTCCATATTTGCTTGTGGAAAGGGTTGCAAGTCTCAAGGGTGTGAATTTGCCTCAAAATCATGGATCAGGGTGAAAACTTAAGAAAGGCGAGAGAAGCTGGGGAGGGCAGATCATATATGATCTCTGAGGCTTTCTTATTGCTTCGAAGCAACCCATGAGAAACAGAAAATATCAAGGCAAATAGACCGTAATTGGAGTGCCATAGGCATGGTATGAGGGAGCCATGCATGCAGGAGCGGGAACTAGCACATGCATTAGTGGGGTTGTTAGGGATAGTTATGTGAAGAAGGAGCACAAAGAGCATCCCCCCACCGACTCGGACAGCCAGTTTTGTTCGATCTCGGACCCCTGAAATGCACCTTTGAAATACTGAGAACCTTCACCGGCAAGATGTCTTAAAAGTGCCGCTATCATTCCCTTAGGAAGAGGTAACAGCAACTCAATCAGCCAAATTTCTTAAGAAGATAGCTTTTCGTTCGGTTATAAAATGTGCCCGCTGTTAGCGGCATAAAGAGAAGGAAACACTCTCCATTATGAAAAGAAATGTCTTATGATAGTAAAATGGAAAATTTGGAAGAAAGCACATATCGATTTTGTTTGGCCGACAGACTGCTATAGTAGCTATGGACGTGCATCATATAGATTAACAAAGAAGAACACCCGCATAGGATATATTGGTTTCGCGTTTGGATAAATAACTGACAACCGGTAGATTCAATCTTCCTGCATTGGGAAATTCTATTTGGGTTCCACAAATTCCCATCCCTCTGTGAAAGCCCCGTACTCAATATCTGAATATTCAGTTTTGAATATGTCTTCATACTTCGGTATGATCGTTTCGGGATCTTCAGCCTGGCGAAAGTAGTCTGAAATCAATGACTTGAGAGTAGGATCATTCCACATTTTCTTCATCCAACCGACCGCTTCAGGGGTTGCGTATGTGAGAGGAAGGTTGTAAGTCCGGAATCGCTAATACAAACGGCAGTTATCGTTAATAATTAGTAATCCTGATCAATAGTTATGCACAGCTGACTTTCCATTGACGTTTCCAAGGTTCGCACAGCAGCTTGCTTGTCAAGAACATACGTCGACCGCTCTGGCGGACAATTCTAGAAAAGTTCCACAAAAGTAGAGAAAATGAAGAGAGAAAATAGTTAACATACCCATAGGACAGGCCAATAAAACGAATCCGCAATCCCAAATTTGCCAAACAGAAACCCATCATCCGCCTTCCCCAGTGCCTTCAACTGTACTGTCGTCTGCCGCCTCGCATTTGTCCATATCGCCAGGATTCGCTCTATCTCCTTCTTTGCATCCTGAGACACTGGGATATTTCCCGTATACTTTCCTATGAAGTTAGAATGGTAGGTGCTTCTAACGGCGGTGAAGCCGGAATGCATCTGTGCAACCGCGCTCCTCGCCAGGGCGCGGAGGTAGCGGTCTTTTGGCCATAGGGGGAGGTCCGGGTGAGACTCAGCTAGGAATTCACAGATAGAGAGGCTGTCGGTGATCTGTGTGTGAGCGGGCAAGGAGCGGGCGGTGAGGACGGGCACGAGGCCAGATTCAGAATGTTCTTTGACCTTCCGGGATTTTGTTCATTAGGGGTCAAGCTGGAAGATGGTAGAGAGGCTAATAACTTAGAAGTTGGGAATATTTCTCACTTCTGAAAGCTTGATAAATGTTTTCTTGTACGGAATCTGGTAATATTCCAAGAGTGTTTCCACGCGCGTTGTCCAACCTGTATGTATGCAACGAGTAGTCAAGTTAGGGATATACCTAGGAAGTTTAAGCATCAAATATTAGCAAATCGATTCGTCATACTGGAATACCGCGTGTGGGTTCCGATGAGTTGAAATTCGGGCTCTTCCTTCTGCGAAGCCATGTTTAATAATATTTGGCTTGAGAGTTATCAGTTTGCTTTTCGCTTTTCGTCCGGCTTTTTGTTACTTTCGTAGACGGCCATTCAGAGACGTCTAAGGTTCCAATCAGTGGAGTTTTTATATCCTCCCTTCCTTCACTTCACATTTTCAATTATTAAGCAACGCCCTGCGACTCATACTTACTCCCCGTATTGATTCTGAGTCACGTCCTAGCCGCTGGCGCTCGTTTTCAATTGCACATGGATATTAATTTTTAGTAAGTTAGTGTGGTCAAGCGTCCCGGGATTTCTTACAAATAGATTACATAGATTACAACAAAACACCTCAATACAGGCAATCTCTTAGATTAGCCAGTTTACGCGTATTTAATACACTAATGTACACGCTAACAGCCCACGTTAATCGTTGGTCTCACGGCCAGACGAGGAGATAACTTTAAATCTAAAAATAGAGCCAAAAATTGCGAGTCAATGAAAAGAAAACATGTAGCCAATCATCACGCTACACCCTAATCCGCTAACACAAAGCTATACTAGTCTTGTTCTTCATTTCCTAAAGTGGTAGGTACGAGGCCAAAAATCCAAGCAGCGCGTCACACGCGTCTTTTCGCGATTTTGTATAATTTTTGTTCGATTGTCATGGCTCATACGATAACAAATGTCAATTCTCTACTCAGTATTTCATGATCATTCACCAAAATAGGCAGGATAGATAAATAGATGAGAATGTTGGTGGCTAATATTGTCTGCCAATCCTTTTCATATTATTTTCATGATGTCCTTTCTTAAGTGGGTCCAAAGTACCCATTCGAATGGGACTCACGTGCATTAGTATTAGACGGACGTGTAGTTGGGTCGAGTAAAGAAATGCAAACAGGCAAGTAGAAAAGAGCTTGCGGGCATATACATGACAAAGCAAGGAACATCAACTTTCAGCGTTGGAGCAAAAAGGGGAAAAAATAAGGAAAAATAAGCAAAAGTTGCATAATTTGCGTGGTGAAATCGTACATTTCTTCCTGTAATTGATGGGCAAAGGGGGGAAGGGGAAGGGAAAAAGCTCGTTTGGTTGTCGCTATCCATAACTCGTTGGAAAAGGGCAAATATCAGAAAGCTGAGCAAGTCATATGTGATCGTTTGGTGTACAAATATCCGTTGAAATATGGAAGCGAAATGACAAAGGAAGTTGACATAAGAGAAATTTTAGTCGTGTACATTCGAGACAATAAAAGAGAACGGAGAAAGCAAAAAACGTAGGTCGAGGAAGAAAGAATTTATGAAAAGGCCGGGGCCAGTGTGGGAATTGGTCTTGGGAAAGGGGACAAATGACCGGCGGATAGAAGAGAAAATCGATATGCCGTATCGTTGAACCTAGAAAAAGTTTATTGTCGGTGTCGTATGTGCCTTATGCAAGTATTGTTAAGTGCTATGTTCTTGCCAGGTGAATCTGAAAAAAAATGGATGTACAGTAGTTTTATCACGGTCGTAGCTCCTCTCCTAGCTGTAAAGACAACGCTCCTCTTTTCTCACGTGTTGTCGAAGGGCTTCCGGCCAATGGAGGAGCGAGAGAATCGAAATTAAGGCGTTTTCTCAATTCCTTTGGAGGACGTGGGGTCCTCGACAAGGTGCCTGGCGTTCGTCCTCCCCATGGTAACTGTGCTGGGCTTGGGGTAACGTTTACGAAGTCTGCGAAATTGAACTGCTGGGTTGGGGTTCCAAAATTGGCGGTAACGCCTCCGCCAGGTGTGGTGGTCAATGAAGGGAGGACAGCTTGTTGGCTTGGGGGGGTTGAAGGGGGGAAATCCTGTGGGCTGGCTCTTCCTCGAAAAGTTGCTGGAGTAGGGGAATTGGCAAGGAACAACAAAAGATCTGCACCATCTTCCCCATTTTCAGCCTCTCTGTTATTCCGTGCAGTGTGATTTCGGTTCGGAGGTGGAGTGCGAGGTGGTGAGGAGCTGATCCTTGACGAAGTAATATTATGTACTTTGACAGTTGGAAGTTCGGGTTCCTTGGCTTCGTGATAAACAGGTGAGTGTTTCCCGTCAGGGATCGTGTCCGACTCCGAAACAAATGAACTGGGATCGTCATGATATGTAGGATGTGGGCGATTGAAGACGGGAGACGATTGCGGAAGCCCATTCTCGGCGTTCCACGAGATTCGTGTCGCCTTGGAAGGTTGCTCTGTTGTAGGGCTGGAAAGGCCACGCTTGCGTGAACGGCCGATGGTGTCAATGGAACTGGGGAAGAAAATTGCCGCATGTTTGCTCCGTGACGACCTGGGGAGCTCGTTTGGAAGCATTGGCGTTGGAAGAGGGGACGAGGTAAAAGGGGTTTCGTAGCGGCTATCACACATTTCTGAAGAAGAATCTGATATAACTTCACCATCACTAGGACCTCTTCTCCCACCCTGTTGGATTTGTTGTAGCGGCTCGACACGGCGGCAACGAGTTCGTTCGTAGCGGACCTTTGCCAGGCCTAGACGATCCTGGAGGTTGAGGGATATCTGTAGGGAAACCCAAGTTAAAACCACTGATACCGTTGAGGCAGACATAATAAGAAACCGACGTACCTGGGCAACATCAAGCTTAGGAACTTTCCGCTTTACGGAACCAGTAGGCTGCGTGGCGGACATTTTGTATTGATAGCTAGTTATTTTCGCCAGTCATTTGCCAGACTTCGTGATAGGTCGGTTGGAGTGGTTGGCTCAAAGGACAAAAATTGCTCTGGCGGAGGAAATTGGTGACTATGGGTGTGGATTGCAAGATTTTGAGCAAAGTTCAATTATGTGTAAAGAATGATGAAAAGGGGAATACGAATGCAGGGACAAAGGGATAAAACTATTACAGGAGCTAGAGTTCAAATCCTGCCTGCACCCGGAGACCTGTTCGTGGGAGGGTGGGACGGAGGAGTGGGCGGTTGTGTGCTTGTACAAGCTTAGCTTGGGTCTGTGGAAGGTTTCGTTTTGAGGTGTTTTTTGCAGGGAAGCAGGGCAGCCCCAGTTTGACTGCCACGCGACCAAAAAAATGACAGCGTCTTGTACTGGTTGAAAGCTTCCCACCCATGTTGCTAACCTCCATCTTTATTCTAAATACTATAGATGGATAGCTAGCTATCCAAGCACTTGGGTAGTTGGTTATGCTCGCGTTATTCACCAGACGATCCAAACCTGTCATTTTGAAGCTGGGTTATGAACGACGCGACCACCTATGTATGTACATGAAAACACTTGGATATCTCATATTGAGGACCGAGCGTCTCTTCTCTCTTAATGATCGTGAACCACATTTGAATCATATCACATCAATATTCTCTATCCCAAACCGCTTCACATATTGCTGTCATTCGAAGTTGCAAGATAGGGAAAGATACTGGCACCGGAAGCATGCAGAATGCAGATCCATATCTAATTCCTCACAAGTTTAACTCACATTGCAATATGCCCTTCTAAACTTGCTTCGACGGCTTGAAGGGATTCAAGTTAGTCCTCCCTATCACTGTTTGCGACCGAGCCTGCCGGGATTCGAAACCTATTCGTTGGCAGTATCAGCATATGTCCCATCCGCCGTTGTTTCCATGAGAAAGAGCTTGGGCACTCCCAGGTCTCTAATCTTCCACGTCTTGCACCAGCATAATTAGCTGACTTTCGCGTACAAAACGCAAACCATAACCCAGTCATATCTTCCCATCGAAGGTATATCTGCAATGGATGACCGCGCGCAAGCCAACTTGTCTGTCCGATACAGTCTTGTGTATACATACGGCTGTGACCTCGATACGTGGTGATGAAGCCACCAGCGGTAGATTCACGAGACAATGACAGGAAACTTCTCAGTCATGGCAACATTGGTGTCGAGCTGCTCATGATAAATTCACGCCAGGATGCGGCGCCCTCGGTTTCTATCCTTTACTCAAAATATCCTGCATTACCAATTCTTCGCGTATCGCCCCCCTTCCAAAATCCCATCTCACTCTGAGGAGACTGGGACAATTCAGTCGATATGTATGTCCGGTAGTTCATTATAGTTTGATATGCGAGGTCGCATAAGGAACGACCCCTTTAATGGTCTTCTGGCCTTTGCCTAGGTCTCTTGATCCTAACATTAGCGAGACGTAATTCAGTGGATACTGCATTGAAGACTTTCCTGAAACTCAAATCGGATTTTATATACAGAGTAATTAGAATCCCTAAATAATTCCTATCGTCGCTGCACGGCGCACGTGTATATGTACTAACGTAGCGCACTTACACTTGATTAAGATATGGGAAACGTAGTTGAAGTATTTATTATAGTTATGTATGCTTTATGTCTATGACGGTGCAAAAAAAAAGGAGGGAAAAAAAGGGCGAGGAGCAAGATAGGCAACGATGTATGCTAGCTTTGCCAGGATTTGCTGTGGTTATGATTTCTTCCTTTGAGTTTCACATTAAAGAAACTCCAGTCAATCTTTCGTACTGCGTAGGATCACCGCGGTACTTTCGTGGGATGTGTTCAAAAAGGCCATTTTTCAGCATCGGATTCGAGACGGGAACGGAGGTTATTCTATGTTTAAACAGGAGATCTTTGTGTGCTTTGTGTTCCAGGCTGTGTCTGTTGGGTGTGGGGTTGGTCGGTAGCAGCTTTGACCGCATGTTTGGGTTTTCAAAAGGTACACAGAGTATATTCTCCAAGCAAGTTTATAAACTCTTCTGGGTTAGTTAAAGGAGCCGTCAAATTCTATAACTTTCGAGCCAGGCTGTATCATAATATCTGGTGGCTGGGCGTTGGGCAAACTTGGTTTGGATGCGGGAGATCTACGGAGGATATAAACTAACTACCACCCCGCTGGTTGGTGGTTAACTACCAATGGTTTTGATTTGATTTGATTTTCTTTTTCTTTTTCTTTTTCTTTTTACTTTTTCTTTTTCCTTTGCGGGCATGATCGGTCGGTTTATTTAGTTTAACCTTTTTAATGGCAGAAAGAAACACAATATTTTCTGTTTGGGATTTTCCCTAGTATTGTGGCGGACATATTACTTGCGAAAACAGAATTTTCCCAGCCCCCCCTGAAAATTAGTAGCAAAACACCACCAAAAAATCAAAATATCTGCATTTCTCTAGAATCATTCAATATCATCCAATACACGTCTTTTTCAATCAAATATCATCCAAATACGCGTCTTTCTTACCTTTATCATCAAATCCACATATATCAATCAACCCTTTTTTCAATATGCCTCACAATGCCCGCCGTCCTGCTGCTTTGCAAGCCCATACAAAGACTCCTACCCTGTGCCTCAGTCTCCCCAAACTACCTGTTCCAGAAGTTCCGGATAATGAAGAGAATTCAGTCAATGATGAGATGGAGAAGCAGATGAATAAGGAGGATATAGAGACTCAGTCTGAGAATTCTCAATATCTGTGAATCTCTACACCTGAGTCTGACATCTTATACAGATTGTATGAACAGATGATTATCAATGAGATAAAGAATTCTGTCAAGATCAAATACTGAACTATCTCAGCAAATGATCCAACTATCAGCTTCTTTCATATTCAATATACTGCAGAAAAGATAGCTGAGAAGTATATTATAAAATAAATCTATAAGAAGATGAAAGTTGTAGATCATACAGCTGTTATCATATTATATAAATATGAATTTCAGATCAATAAAATCATTATTGAGAAGAAGAAGAATTGAAAGAAGATAATTGATCTTTTGAAGAAGTTGTATAAGAAGAAGATGAGTGATCTTATCATTGAAGTTATCTCTTCTTTCAATCTTCTTAATATCTTAACACTATTTTCAAACACATCTGTAATACACAGTTCTGCAGCTTTTATTAAAGTGTCAGATTCACAATTAATAACTCAGGTATTAATATTAAAAAGAGCTCTTGATATTAAAGAAGATATAATCTCACTATTCTGCAATTCTCATTATTATCTTGTTAAATTCTCTCAAATTCATAAAATATCTGATGATGAAAAGTTATCTATATATTTAAGAATCACAGTTATCAGTCAATAACTAAAGAAGGTTTAAAATTAATAATCAAAGAAATGAGATTCTTTATAGATTGAATATAAGATAACTACTCAGTGATATTATTAAAAGATAAATTATTATAACTTTAAGTAGAGTACTTGCTGAATAGTATATAATAATACTTATATTCAACTTCTGAGTAGTGAGATTGTAAGTTGAATAGATGATATTGAATATGATAAAGCAATAATTGAGACTTCTTTAAGAAAGATAATAAAATGATTAATAAGTAGAAAGAAGAAGAAGAGTTAGAAGAATAAATCTATAACTTCTACATTTAATTCTTCTATACAGATTTCTTAATTATCAGTAGTTATATTCTCTTCTTCAGCTTCAGCAGCTTCAACTTCATTAAATATGATATTTTCAAGTGAGATAATCAATGTGATGATGATGAAATATATGATGAAAGAAATAGAAGAACTGAATTCACAATCTTATTATCATTCATATTCAGATCTGTTATTAAATCTTTTATTAAATTCTTTATTAAATTCACTGTTGAATTCTTTATTGAATTCTTTATTAAATTCACTATTGAATTCATTATTAAATCTGCTGTTAAATTCTTCATTGATTTCACTGTTGACTTCATTAAATTCATCTTTAATTCAAAGCAGTTCAATATCTTAATTTAATGAATAAGCAGATTTATTCTTTGATAAATACTTTAAATGATTGATAATCTGAAGATCTAATAAAGCTTCTAATTTATTAGATACTAAGTTCATTCTTCAGAAGAAAGAATTTGAATTGAATCATCTACAGATGTTGATAAGAGAACAGTTACTTGATATGAATATTAAGAAGAATATATTTCAAATTATAAGAGATGGATTAAAAAGTTCATTATAGCAGATAAGATTGCAGGAATTCTGTGATTCAAAGATGCTTAAGCCAGCGTACGATTACAGGCGTACACCGGCTTCTTATATATTGTAATATCATACGCTAAATTAATTAGCGGCTGCTATGGCCCCTTTACACTCATACGCGTATGCTAGTAGTTCAGAAGCGGCCGCGTTATTATCCAACAGTCGTACATTCTTCTGAACCACATTCTCCCTCACCAGATTCGGTCACGCCCATGTGATCATATCATACATCCTAGCTTCATGCAGATTAGCTCACCACTAGCATTTCATGATTGTGTGATCTTATCCCTGATTCAGCTAGCATTCTGTGTACACTCTTACAAAGAAACTTTCACTATATTACATCACTCATTCACTAACTTTTCTCATTCTTTAATCATTTTCTTTATCATCATTATTATCAAACATTACTATCTCATTCAAGATTTCTATCTCTTCTTCTGTTCAACTCTTTTCATTTGTTCATCTATTACATCATACATGTTTCTGATAATGACTTCTTGTTCTCATAACAAGTATTATTGTAGTGCTCATATCAGACAGTTTATTAGCAGTAAGTGTAATATGTTGTGAAACATACATGATCAGAACTTGTTTATCTTCTAACAATTGTCAGAACATACTATCATGAATGACACATCTTCTTCATCTTTTCATACACTCTCAATCATTTCTTCTTCTCAGTGAGTTTCTAATCATGTTTTCTAGCACAATTTTATATGAACACAGATGCTGATATATTTGTTTTTATTTACATAGAATCTTCATATATTGACAGATTCATATTCACTGATGATAGTGAACTCAATATTGAATCATTGATTGAGAACTTGAAGAATGTAATAATGAAGAAATTATCTATATTATGTATAACTGAGTCTTCTACATTCTCTCTTATCTCTTCTGTCACTTCTTTCTCTACTACTTCTCTCTCTGTCTCTTTCTCTGTCACTTCTCAATCTTCTACACTTGTCTCTGTGTCTGGTTCTCCTGCTTCTACTACCTCTGTTCTCACAACTCTTACTCTCACTACTCCTGGTTTTGCTATCTCTGCTTTTGTTATCAGCTCTCCCTGTTTCAAGAAGATGTTGTATAGACTTAATGAATTATATTTATCAGTATATACACTTCTGTCTTTCTTACTGACTTCTAGAATAATTTATTATACAAAGACTGTATATAATACAACTATCTGAAGCTCAGTCACAGACATCAATTATTACATTCATTTTAAATATTCATGATAAAGTAATTATTTATTCATTTCAGAGAATCATCTTCTCTCTCAACAGTGTTAAAATTATAAGTCTTTTTCTTTTTCATCTTTTCTTTCTGACACTGATTTCCTGTTTTTAGAAGAAATTATTATGAGTTTTACTATGTATAAAGTTATGATATTCACAGACATTAAGAAGCTTTTCATAACTGTAAAGTTCAATATTACAGAGACATTCACTCTAATGAATTCCTTCAGAATAATAGATCTGTATCAGCTTATTCTCTAGTATCTGTCATCTGACTTCATGATACAGATGAAAGATATCTGTGTTTTCAAGAATGAGAATGCAGATGTTGTACTCTTTTACACTTATAAGTGTGAGACTCATACATCTTGTCTGAAATGTCATTGTGAGAATGAGCTGTTCACATACTGTGTTCTGCTTTCTGCATTTCTCTGTGTCTCTCTCTCTCTTTCTGAGAAGTCTTGTATGTGTTGTAATTACATGTACAACTCTAAGATCAGTGAGTGTTCATTCAGTAACTGTTCTCATCTCTGATTTTGTGATTTTTATATACTAATAATGATTCTTAGTTGCTTCAGCATCAGAGATCATTCTGATCAAAGATAATAACACTGCTGAGACTACTCTCTTTCACTCTCAAGCTTCTTCTATCACTTTCTCTTTCTTCTCTATAGGAAAGGTTGTGCACACACCTAGACTGACCGCCGGGACCATGAATTTCACGTTTGATTCCATTTGGTCTGATCTTATACATTTCTTGGCGTGAATCCCGCTGGGACTGGCTATCAAAAAAACATGTAAAGTGACTATATATCAGATCTTAAAATGGAACCATGGCTTGAAAAAAATGAGAAAGTGGTCTCATTTGATCTCATTTAGTTTCATTCTTGGCATAAAGTTACTATTTTTAGACATTTTAAGGTTTTTTTTAGACAATTTTTAATTTTTTAAAAAGTAACGCTTTTTGGTAATGCTCAAATGAGATTTAAAGTCATTTAAAGCAATAAAAATAATTTAAATTGAGAAGTGGAAATCATGGTCTCATTTGAAAAATGTGACAAGAGTAGACAGTAAGTCTCACTGGGACAGTATGAAACTACTATCTAATGTTAAAACTGTGTAATGGGATCAGTTGAATTGGTAATGAGACTATCAAAAAATCTGGTCCTGGTCCCAGACACGGTCACACGGTCAGTCTACACACACCAGATTATAAGCATTTGACCTCAGATGACTCTCACTATTGTTTATTCAGTTCTGTGTCTTCTTCTTCTTCTGTTTCTTTCACCTCTGCTTCCTCTGCCCTGGCTTCTGATTCTGTGAGTCTCACACTCTTCTTCAATTTCTTTACATGTACATGTGCGTATTTCTATATTAGTATTCCAGTCAATCTTGTGATAAATGACATTAATGTTATATACAGAGCAGTAGAGGAATCAGAGATATGTACAGCATTGTTATAAGAGCAGCTTGCAGCTCTCAAATCTCTTACAGATCTCAAGTTTTGAGATTTCCTTTGTTTTTGACATTTTTCAGATGACATGACATTGAAAATAGATTAAA